ATAAAGCAGTTGTTTTCTTTCCAGTAAGTAAACATTTGATATGAGACCTTTCTTTAAATTTTTTAAAAATGTTTTTATTTTATGTGTTTTGCCTGCATGTATGTAAATGCAACTGAGTCATGCAGTGCCTGCAGAGGCCAGAAGAGAGCATCAGATTCTCTGAAACTGGAGTTAAGGACAGCTATTAGCTGCCATATGGTTGCTAGGGACCAAACCCAGGTCCTCGCAAGAGCAGCCAGTGCTCTTAACTGCTGAGTCATCTTTCCAGTCTCTATAAGATATATTAAAATAGACTTAATTAGGTTGTTGGGTAATGAAAGAGATTGTGTCACAGTTTTTGAACTTTCTATCTACTGGTCTAAATAAGAACAAAAACTTTAATAATGCCTTTATGAAATCCCAGAAATCAACCTCTACACTGAGTTAATCCTGCTCAACTTTGTTTTTATCCGCTTCAATTTCAAGTGAGATTTTTGTTTAGTTTGTTTTTGAGCAATAAATAGCACTACTACATTTGGTTAAACTGTTCCATTTTGTTAGACAGTAATTGCAACTTTATTTCCCCATCATTATCAACTGTACTGTTTCACAGTAAAATTTACTGCACTTGAATTAGAAATGTGAGATCTGGAGACACTGACAGCAAGTAAACTGATGTTCCTTCTGCAGCTCTGCCATTAGTGAGCTCTCCCTCTCAGCATTGTCACCACAGCTCTGACCCAGTTAGCAACCTGACCAAGGTCCTGGGAGAAAGTATTGCTTCTCCCTCCCCAAGCATAGGAGTGGTTATCATAGACTGTGAACCCAAAACTCTTAAGGGCAAATTCTGGCCTTGCCATTTGATGTGACTCTAGCTTTCCTACCCTTTCTTTCAGTTAAGAACGACAGCAGCATATAGCAGTGCTGGGCACGTTGGAGCATGCTTTTAGTCCCATCAGCAGGGGAATTGCTATGGATTCCAGGCCAACCTGGTCTACCTAGTGAGTTCCAGGCCTGCCAGGGCTACATAGTAAGACCCTGTCTCAAAAGAAAAGAGAAGAGAAGAGAAGAGAAAAAAGAGAAATTTATAAAGAGAAGAGAAAAAAAGAGAAATGTTTATAGAGGAGACATCATTCAAATTGAAGTCAATGAATTGCCATAGGGCCCGAAGGTTTTAAGTACCAAATGGCTACTGGCACAAACTTAGTATTCATAATATAGAAATGAAACTTATGTTAGTTAAAAAGAAGAGCCTCAGGAATGAGGTCATTAAATATAATGAAGTACATTTTAAATATAAATACCATGTATTTCCTGAGCTGCCGATCCCAAATTCTGGTCTTGGAGAAATAGATTGGAGACAGTTACAATGTTACACAGCATTGATTTTTTTTTTTTTAATTTTTAAAAATTTATGTGTATGAGTGTTTTGCCTGCATGTATATAAGTGCATTCATGTTGTGGGATACCCAGAGGCCAGAAGAGGGTGTTGGATACCCTGGAACTGGAGTTAATGGTTATTAACCACCATGTGGGTGCTGGGAACCCAACAAAAGTCCTCTGCAACAGTTGCCAGTGCTTTTAACCATTGGGTCCTCTCTCCAGCCCTTAATTTTTTTTTTTCCGGGGGGAGGTGTCATTTTTGATATTTATTTTTATTTTTTGGAGCTAAGGACCAAACCCAGGACATTGTGCTTGCTAGGCAAGGGCTGAGCTAAATCCCCAACCCTGTTATATATCATTGAGACCATAAAGCAGGTAAAATCCTTTGGAAAGTTCACATTAGTTAGTTATTCTTTTTATCAGAAGTTTCTGTTCGTCCTTTTGTGGGTAATCATTTGTATCTGCATCTTGTAGTATTCTCTGCCTTTTACTTTATTTTTTGTTTGTTTGTTTTTGGCCTTTTTGAGACAGGGTCTTCCTATAGCCCCAAGTGGCCTGGAACTCAAAAAGATCCACCTGCCTCTGCCTCCCAGGTGCTGGGATTAAAGGTGTGCACCACTAGGCCTGGCCTCTGCCTTTATTTTTATCATTTATCAGCTTTTCTAGGTCATATGCAACTTACAAAATAGGAAATCAAAGGATAATATCTTTCTCTCTTTCCTTTCCTTCCCTTCTATTCCTTCCCCTCCCCCTCCCCTCCC